AGTTTCTTTACCGTAACTCGAATATCAATGCCATCTACGTCCTTTAATTAATATTCACAGAAATTACGAGATTGCGACGGATTCGTAAAAAGTTTTACACTGAAAATGTCTGATCTAACAGCTACATCGTCCAGTGGACATATTAAATGAGAAAAACGAATGTTGAGAAATGATAGACATGAGGTGCAAAAAAACTCGTGTCGTAAAATAGATTTTCCCGGATGGAATCATATTGCCTGCGATTTGAGCATCCGATGTCTTTCAGGCAAAAAGAATAACCATCGGTATTGATGTCATAGTCGAGCACGTGGCGGTAATCTTCAAGGATAACCCGCGTGTCAATGTTACAATCGATCTGAAACGTAAACGTCCTTCTCCGCTCATCGAAAACCGCTTGTCACTCTTCTACCGTCATGGAATACGCGTTATGGAGAACAACTAGGCACATCACGAGCGGATTTTATTGACGTCCTCCTGAATTCTTCTCCAGCTTTTCCGCCGGCTTTATAATGCAAAACGTCGGATTCTCGGCGCACTCATATCGCGGTCTTCCTCGTCGTAGTTTCCGACAGCCGCTATACCGAAGCAGCCTCATAATGTTCACATGACGGGAACTAGAGGAAAACGCCGCAGGTGCTTATGCACATCGCAGTGCTGCCTTTCCGGATAACGTGAATTAATAAAAGATGCGTCAATCCGAGGACGCTTAACGTACCATTGCGAGAAATATAATATTTTTAGCAACAGCCTATTGGCATGTAGTACCTATGATCGCATATATCATAGTGAAGGATACTATTTCGTTGTCAAGGTTATAGATATATCCGTTTTATATATATATATATATACATATATATATGACGAAAATAAAAATTCTTTCGAACGACTATTTTACAAAGTGCATTACTAACTGTAAGCTTATCTTAACAAAATACATATTACTAAGTTTCCTTAGAAGGTTTAATAATATCACTTGCTTTCCAATTCACAAACAATACAGGCTTGATACATTTCATTAAACAAATTAACATTATTTATCATCACTTTGACGACAAATAACGTCAGCTTGTTTGATAAGATATTAAATAGATAACTTATTAAACAATTATCATATTTTATTGGAACGTTATTTAAATGAAATTTGAAATTATATTAATAAAGTTTAATTTTAAAAGAAATTATGAGTATCCAGAGAATTATGATGTAAAAAATGTAATCTGTATGCTCTATTACCACATAAAAATGCGTAATATGCGCAGCGCAGCACGTCTATTAAAAATTAATATCGACTTTCCGTCGTCGGTAAACTTTTTCAAATATGAAACTGATATTTGGATTTTGGACATGTAAAAATCCGGTATCTCATTTCCGGCCGGTAGGCAAACAACGCCGACACAATCTAACAGACGGAAGTTCAATTTTCTCTCGCGATACGTCTACATAAATAATGTGTAAAATCTTTTTGTGTAGAAACTTTTCAAATTATGAGATCAGTGTGTACGGTGTGGGTGGTGTCGAGGAGTTGGCAGCTAATGCGTAATTTATTAAGATACACGACCCCTTTAGTCGATACAGAAACAAGAGATGGAGAAACGAGCGATCTGAGAAAACTTATCGCCGCCTGTTATCGGGGACAGCACGCTTTTAAATATATCTCAACAAGACGATTTATGGTACCGACAGATTTATGAGAATGTCCACATGTCCGTTTTAACGATTTTATATCCAACACGACGGTACTTACGTCGTAAAGAGCCAACGATCGCATTAATCACTACGGCATTGTTGTTGGGTTATTCGATCGCATAAATTCATCAAGAACCATGAAAAATAGATATTAACCAATAATCAGAGTTGGAAACGTCATTTTATAAAAATATAGCTGTTATCGCTAATTTTTGTAAAAAGTAACTTGTTATCATTACTAGTTATTAATTTTAAAAAGCAACGCGTTATCGTTACTTAAAAAGTAACAATTCATTACTTTTTTCATTATTTTTTTGAAGTGCCAAAGTAAGAGAGATATTAGATTATAAAATTATATTGTTTAATAATCAATATTATAAATATAACAATCAATATTAAAGCCTAAAACTCTAAGTTAATCTCCATATAGCAAATTTTTTTTTATTTCAGATAAACTTATCTAAATCTTCTACAATTTTTTACATTAATATTTTATTTCTTAATATATATTAATATACGGGTGTCCGGAAATTAGCGCATCAGACTATCATAGCAAAATAGAGCTTACTAAACTGAGTCGAAAAGTTCTTTACTATTTTGCAATTTTCGCAATAGTTAACGAGATATTAATTATTAAAAATCGCTGAATATTGATTTTCAATAATTTTTTACTCAAATACTATCAACTTTACAGAAAAACAGCGAGAGATAAAAATTAAAAATTGTTTATTTTCTTCTCATAAAGTTCTGAGAATTTTTTCAGAATTATGTTTATTCCACTCTATCTTGCTATGATATTCTGATACGGTAATTTCCACCCTGTATATTAATCCTTAAAAATTTAGATTTTTAAAGATTATAATTCATAAATGCAAATTTTATATTAAAAATTTAAATTAAACAATGTTTTTAAATATTAATATCATTATTAAGCATTTTCCATTATTTGCCTGCAGTATCACTACCCAGATAGACAGATGCGCATAAATTTTACTGCAACTTTACGTTGTATTCGATCATCAAATCCGTAATAGGTGAGGCGATTGTGACCCCAAATATTGTAGTCATATTTAGTAAATCAGAAAATGAAATACTATGACGCAAATATGATGTAAATATGACAAACAAAAATCTGATTCTTAGTGTCTCATATTTACATCATATTTGCACATCATGATATTTCGTTTTCTGATTTACTAAATGCTGCTGCAATATTTCGGATCTTAATCGGCTCATCTATGAAGCATTGGATGATTGTAAGATAAACGTGAAGTTGCTGTAAAGTATATGTACATTTGTCTACTGAGTATATTTTAACGAAAAAAAAATTTAATTATAATTTAATTTGTTTTTATTTTTTTTAGATTTTATTTTTTATTTTCGGAATAATTATTAAGTTTATTAATTATTTTTCTGTACATACAAATTCTTATAATTATATAACGCAATTATAAATATTCTTGAAAACGCATGGAGTATCGACGGGATTTGAACCTACAATCTTTGGGGTGGTAGCCTACCTACGCTAACGCTGAGCTAATCGCACGCTTGTCTGAACACTTATAAATTTGACATATATTGGATTTTATTTTGTCATTCGTACTGATCATATATGTAATATGCATGTTTATATACAGCCGGCGGTACTGTAATTTTCAAGCCTTTATAATTCGAAAAGTATATAACTTAATGAAAATGAATTTAATTATAGTGTTTTGGAAAGCTCTCGAGGTTAGCTACAAGAATATGTAATAAAAAATAGGGATTCTACTTAAGAAAAAAAACATTAATGACCTTAACTTGATTTTGACAAGGTCACTCAAGGTCAAGTCCACATTTCCATCATGTGTCCCTCTTCAAACCATGCAACTTTCGATGGAAAAATCAACGCCACACTGCGTGATTTCTGTGGACTTTCGCGCGAATTTTTCATAATCGACATGTTTATTTAAACTTTATAGTATATTTATCTTACTTTATGCGGCATGAAATAAGTAAAAGTTTACAAATCATTTATGCTTACTATGACATCACATCAGGATTACGAATTCTTTCAACAAAATTCGGTATATCAAAATCGACATTTGTTTACCCAAATTTTACAGTATATTTATCTTACTTTATGCGGCATGAAATGAAGAAAAATTTAAAAATTATTTAAGCTTTCTATAGCATCACATGATAATTGCAAATGTGCATCATTATACGATGTATTTCATTTAATTATGTATGATGTAAATATTTCATATAGCAATATCGTAAAACGAATATTATAGATCTGAAGATATATTTTCATACATATGTTTTTGTAATTCTATAACAAAAAATTTAATCATTCAAATAACCTAAATTTTATATTTTCCTTAATATAAACGTTTTCGCTTTTATAATGTCATAAATGATTATAAAATTGTTCTAAATTTTCAGTAAATTAATTTGTGCATATCGTGATCGTCATACAAGTCTATCTGGGTACCGAAATAGCCTAAGATAGTAAGAATATTTTTCAATATTTAAATTTCTACTTAAGTAAAATATTTCTTTTCAAAAGAAGCGAAATGTTTCTATCGAATAGATATAAAGATGATAGAGAATTATATAAGGTAACATTAAAAGTAATGGTCGAATTCGTTACCATTACTGTAAAAATGTAATAACATTACCGTTATCATTTTCAATAACGACCGTTACGGACATAAAAAAGTAACGATCGTTACTAAAAGAAAAGTAATAGTGATGGCGTTACAAATAACGCGTTACTTCTCAGTCAATAAATAAATATATAAATATACCACGTGTATATTACGTTAATACGTATATGTATAAATGCATATAATATACAATCGATATCCTGAATTCCCGACATGATAATGCAAATTGAACTTGCAACTAGGAAACTATGTTATAGTTAAGTCAGACGATCGAAACGGAAAGCTAGTACAATATGTAATGGAAAATGTAATGGGAAAGGAATATGTAAATGGAATATGTAATGGAAAAGTATTAATTGCACACAATGTTAATTTTAGAAATTTTAGAGATTTTAAAAATATACCTAATTTCTTTAGATAAAAACTAAAGAAATAAAAAAATTATTTACCCCGCGAACACTATTTGTCGTACATACTATTTGACTAATCATTCAATGCTTAATGAATTACTAGATATTTAATAGTTTTATTTAAAAATGCATTTTATGCGCATTCAAATGGTTCTTAATGTACTATTTTATCACATGAATAAATTACAGCTTTTTGCATAGATAATATAAGGCGCGTAATACATCAATGACAGTATTATTTGCTGATATTGTTGGAAGAATGTGGACTAAAGTGTGTACATTCTTAATAATTATATTTTGTGTGATAGTACAGTATAATGTGACATATGCCAAAAGGATACTGGTTATATCAAATATACCGTCATACAGTCATCAAATATCTTATCGTGGTCTATGGTTAGAATTGCATAGACAAGGTCACGAGATTGTGTCAGTCACTACAAACCCAATAAAAAATTCTTCTTTAACTAATTACACAGAAATCGACATAAACTACTTTTATAAAGGCTTTCCTGAATACAAATCGCTACCATATTCTACTCTTACCGCGGCGTATCTTAATTTACCGTTTCTAGAAGCAGAACGAAGGATTATATGGTTTGTGGGACATGTCCTCAATCAGGAGGTTTTTAAACATCCAGAAATGAGAAAGTTATACGCAGCTGACAGCAATGAACACTTTGATGCGGTTATTGTAGCGCAGGGTCCTACAATTTCGCTGAATGCTTTCGCGTACAGATTTAACACTCCTCTTATAGGTAACAATACCTACTATTAATAAATAAATTTAAAAAATTAAATTCATTTAATTTGGAACAATTATTCGTAATGAGATAATAAAAGGTAACATGACAAATAGGTATTTCAAGTTTGGATGTATTCAATCATTTGCGCTATACGTTTGGATCCCTGATTCTCCCATCGCATATTTCAAATTGGCAAATCAACAAGTCAAATGAAAAAAATATGTCATTTTGGAGGAGACTTGTCAACTTTTATGAAGTGTGGAAGCAGATGTATTCCTGGATGAACGAACATGTTGCTATAGAGGACGCGATCGCGAAGAAGTACTTAGGGGAAGATCTACCACATATCAACGACATAACGAGAAACATGAGTATATACCTCGTAAACAAACATCCAGCGTTTGTACATGGCAAACCCGAACAACCGAATATCATATATTACTATGGTTCTCATATTACAAAAGTACCGGACACTTTGCCAAAAGTATATATATGTATATACCTACAGACATACATGCTTATATAAATATATATATATTGTATATATATATACACATATTATTTTTTCCGATCTCCTCAAGTGAGATTTAATAGCGCTTTGTTGTACATTTACATAACCATTAGTCTCGTTATGTTCGCTAGAATGTAAAACAGTTTCTTGACGATGCGAAGGAAGGATTTATTTACGTCAGTCTTGGAAGCAATGTTAAATGGGAGAAGCTACCAAACAATACGCTTGAAGCCTTCGTTGACGGATTCTCCACTTTACCGTACAAAATTGTTTGGAAATTGAATCCCGATCTATTACCTGAGAAATATAAAAATATACTGGCGTTGCAATGGTTTCCCCAGCAAAGTATTCTCGGTAATATCACAGATACAAATATCTTATATGTTTAATCATTTTTTTATATCTCTACCTTAGAATTAATAATCCATGCAATTTGCGTTCTTTTCACTTGTAGCTCATCCAAATATCAAGTTATTTATTTATCAAGGTGGTCATCAGAGTACTGAAGAAGCTCTTTATTACGGAATTCCACTCATAGGATTTCCCATTATATGGGATCAAACGTATCAAGTGCGAAATATAGTAAGACTAGGTATTGGAGTTCATCTTCAGATTGATACTCTCTCGAAAGAAACCGTTAAAGCCACTATACATGAAGTTATAAGCAACACGAGGTACTAAATCACCGCGTAAATCACAAATTAATAAATTCATTATGTTTATATTACTTTTATGTTTATATTACGTTGATTATCTTATGTTTATATTAATATAATATAAACATAAGATAATCAACGTAATATAAACATAAAAGTTTTATATGTCTTAAAATATAACAATATCATTCTTTATTTTTAGTTATAAGGATCAGATGCAACGTTGGAGAAAAATTTTTAAGGATGCACCGTATGATAGTCTTCAAAATGCAGTACGATGGATTGAGTATGTGTTACGTCAAAATGGAACGCCTTTCTTACGAAATAATCTTTGCGATGATCCATGGTATCAAAGATACGACTGGGACATCATCGGATTTCTCGCCATAGTATTATTTATTGTATTTCTTATTTCTATATGGGTACTACTTTTGATTTTGCGGTTTCACTTACGAATAATATCGCATTCTCTATGGTAGTTTTTATTATCAATTCTTATCGTTAGAATATATCAATAGGCCTGTTCTTTTTGGCTGAACTTTTGCACCAGTTCATCTTTCTTCCTCTTCTTTCCTCCTGGAGAGAAAAGGAAGAAAGATGAACTGATGCAAAAGTTCAGTCAAAAAGAACAGGTCTAGTTTTATTAATTCCTGCTTTATACTAACAATAATTTCATTAAATTATCTTGGAAATTTTTATCTTCATGTAATAGTGTCTAAGATCGTCTCAAATTATATCGTACATTTTTTAAATAAAAATTATAATTAAAACAAAATATTTTGTAAAATATTCAATAACAATAAAGTATATATCATTCAATATACAGTCACGAAATTAATTGTCTAGACAGTGCTATTATATTGATGATTTCTTTAAACTTTATTGGGCAAATATCAAAAATTGTGGTTTTATAGACACATTACGCACTAATTTATATTATATTAGTTTATATTTATATTTAGACAACTAATTGTGAAACTACCAGTACCATAATGCGTACGTAGAACCATAATTCTTAACATTTGAACAATGATTTGAAAAAATTATTAATATAATGGCGCCAGTGTCCGGACAATTAATTTCATGATATGTTGTGTCTATACAGCATTGCTTTGTCAAAACAGCATTGCCTTGTCTCAAAAAATGGTAATCAATATCTTGATTATAGATTTCAGATAAATGACAAAAAGAATATAATAAATATAACCGTGCATGTATTTTTCCATCAAATCTGAAGGTACAATTAAACATCAAATTGAAAACATTTTTATGTCATATTTATTAGAGGAGAATGTGATATTATGGCACCTCAGATAGATTTTACACAATAACTTTGTTAATAATCAATATTTAAGTTTAAAACTTGACAATTACATTCGTTAAAATATTGTTGAATCGATTCTGGTCTCAAAGTTACGAAATATTTATTACTTACGATACTATTAATAAAAATGTGGCGACATTGCATAACGACTCGAAGAAAAAAGTGGGTAGTAATATGGCCTTCCATAAAAATAGCCTTAAAATATTAATTTTATTTAGAAAACAGTATTTGATTACAAAATTAACAAAAAAGTAAAACATTTTAAAATGTATGCAAATGAATGTATACATTTACATAACTTCTGCATGTAAGCTGTTCAGTATTATATAAAAAGAGTACAGGTAATATAAACTATAGATTAACAGTAGAGCTACAATCAAATATATCAAATAATATTTTGATATAAAAACCTCAAAAAATAGATCGTGAGTAATCAATACTCATAGAAGGTCACATTAGCAAAATGTCATGCTATTGTTTAAATTTGCATAACTCAAAATATATACAGTCAAATAAAATGTTAAATAGCAAATAACACTCAAAACTACATATATTCGTGTGATAATACGCTCAAGTTTAAGAAAAATGAGGAGGTAAGTGTAATTAAATGCTAAAATGTACCTCAGAAACGTTTCGAAATACTTGAAAGTAAAATGCGTTATAATAAGTGCTGGCTATTAAGTATTGGTAATATTAGCATTATGGTGTAACGGCGAGCTACTGAACTAATAATTCCATAAATAATCATTAGGATTCGCTATATAATAGTGGAGATATTAAGGGAGGCCACAATATACCATATAAATTGGCAATAATACCTCCTTTTCCACTATTATCATTTTATATACATACGAGTATATATTTAAATACAGTACATATATTAAGAGATAATTACATTTAAATAATATACATAATGTATATTACCTACCCAGATGCTTGCTTCACAATTCTTTCATTATGTCATTCTTATGGATATCATGAATATATAATAAATAAGTCGTGATAACTAACTTGATAATATTTTAAACTTCATGTAAGTAACTCGTAATTTCTATAAATCAGTCTGCTTCAAAATGCATTCGCGGATTAGTTGCAAAATGTTGAAGATTACTTGTAAAATGTTTATTGTTTTATCTTTGTGGTTTTTATTGGCAAACAAAATAACAAATGCCGGAAGAATACTCGTGATTATACCTACACCTCTTTATAGTCACCAAATAGTTTTCCAGTCATTGTGTTTAGCCTTAAACAGACGCGGGCACGAACTGATCGTAACAACTCCACAATTAATAAAAGATTCGACATTAAACACAAATTATACAGAAATAAAATTGCCGGGTTTCCATTCCTTGGTCAAACAATATAAAGAACAAATACCACAATTATTACTAATCGACTTATTCAAGCGCGGATGGATGTTAACACATCAATTCAGCACACAAATATTTGATAACCCAAAATTTAAAAAACTTTATCATAGCAATAGTAATGAGAAGTTCGACGCGGTTATTCTAGAGTTATTAGGTTATCCGTCATTATCTATTATGTCGTATAGATTTAATGCGCCTCTTATAGGTAAGATGATTTCTGTAGGTGACGTATACAAGATAGCTTGTAAATAATATATTATACAAAAAGAAAGATCAATATTTCGAGGAATGTATTGCTCTAAGCGTAAAAGTATTGATCTTTTCTCCTAAAAGATATTCGAAATGTATAGTAGAAGAAAGGACTGATATCGATTAATCGATTATCTAGGAATTATATCCGTGGGCATACACAATTATCATCGATATGTTTTTGGCAGTCCTATATACCCATCGCATTTGTCAAACTGGGAAATAAATACGCTAACTGAGGAAAATCCGTCGATTTGGCAAAGACTGTGGAACTTTATCGAAACGTGGCGTTTGGTCCATTATTGGATTAATGATTTTGTACCGTTAGAACAGGAACTCGTTAAAAAATATCTTGGAAATGACGTACCACATATCGTCGATATAATGAAGAATATGAGTTTGCTGTTAGTCAACGAGAATCGGGTACTCACATATCCTAGACCCGAGCAGTCAAATGCAGTATTTTTTAATGGTATCCACATACAGAAGACACCACCGTCTTTACCAAAAGTACATAAATTTGAAAAATAAATAATTTTTTATATCGAAATAAATTGTTTGTCTATTATTAACTTCCATTATTTCGTAATAAATATGCATAATGAATTTAAATCCGGTGACAAGGACTTAGGACAATTCCTAGATAACGCAATGGAAGGATTTATTTACGTGAGTCTTGGAACTTCTACCACCTGCCACACTTTACCGAAAGAAACGCTGAGGAACTTCATTGAAGTGTTTTCGAAGTTACCTTATAAAATAGTTTGGAAATTCGATTGCGATGAGTTACCGGGAAAGCTCGATAATGCATTTATCTCAAAATGGTTTTTACAGCAAAGCGTACTCGGTAAAATTAAAAGTGTGAAGTCATTATTTCATGATCAATAGTCCACTTATACGGCGCTAATTATCTCATCTGTGCAGCTCATCCGAACATCAAGCTGTTTATTTATCAAGGAGGAGCCCAAAGTACCGACGAAGCTGTCCATTATGCAGTTCCAATTTTAGGAATTCCGATTATGTTCGAACAAGAAAATCGAGTTCGGCGATTGGTCTCATTGGGCGGCGCAATAAGTATTAAATTAAACGAATTAACCCAAAAACGTCTTAATAACGCTATTCATCAAATCCTCAATGATAAAAGGTATTATATATATATATATATATATATATACCTACATAGTGTACATTAACTGTTACGTCAAATATTTGGCACACAAATTTTCATTCAATTATATACGGTTGACAGGCTAGTTTGTAAACTTCAATATAATTTTCGAACATTAGTAATGTAAATGAATTGTCATACATGTATATACATACAAACATATGTGCACGTATGCATGCATACACACAGTAATCTCTTACTGTATGATCATTCGTTTATATTATAATATCATATTCAAAAGTAACATATAATGAATATTTTACAATAAATTAGGTACCTTGTTCACATATTTATTATTCTGTTTATATGAAAGTAAATATCATAATAGCGATTATACAGGGTGTTTCCAAATTAAATCGCAAAACTTCGGGAGCGTGTAGAGGAGTAAAAAACTAAGAAAAAAAGTCCTATAGACATATGCTCGTTTTTGCTCCGTTTCAGAGAAATCGAAAAAAAATGTTTACATTTCTTGCCATATCTAGCACCGACATATTTGATTACATTTTCCACTTTCTGTTATGAATTTGTCAGTCGCTCTTTGAAAGCCTTTAACAGTAGATGAATTTTGTCTTTTGCAATATGCCGCGTACGTATTCTAATAGTGAATATGCTGATATGGTTTTTGTATACGGTTTCTGCAACGGTAATGCTTTAAAGGCGGTGCGAGAATATGCACGACGATTTCCAAACAGAAGAGTGCCAAACCGAAGAGTGTTTATGTTGACATTTAATAGATTGCGAGAGACTGGATCATTTTCAATTCGACAAGAAAACAACCGATTTCAAGCAGCGTTACGAAGAGATTTGCAGGCAGGGAATCGTATTTTACAACATTTTGACAATCATCCTGAGACC